AGTGTAAATGCAGTTTTAAGTGAGTTGCATTTCTGGGATTGTGTATTTGTTACAAAAATTCATGGTCCAATATCCTAATCTATGGGCAGGTTTAAACAAGAATTTATCCCATAAACACATGACTGCTTTTACTTAATTACTTGTGTAGCCTAGCAGTTTACATGTGTAAATCTGGGTTAACTGTGGAATGGGGCAGCATTTCCAGTGTGCTAGCTCACCGTAGCTCCATATAATAATTTGTTTGCACAGTACAGTCTGGCAGCACAGGGCTTTCAAATAGGCAGAAGCTTTTTAAGATTTTATTTACAGGGCTGTATCTGTGTTGCTGGAGTTACAGAATACAGTTAATGGACCTTTGTATGTTGTAAGGCAGAAAATTCACAGAACATGTTAAACTGGCTTTTATCTGTTGATTAAAGCTGCTAGTCCAAAATACAGTAAGTGAGCAAGGGGATGTCTCACCATTACTAGATATTAAAATATTTTGATTTTTAAACTTTGTATTTGTCACTTGATGTGCAACTATATTCTGCTTCATTCATAATTCCTGTTTTTTCCAAGTGGGAAAGGCTGGTTTTTTTTGCTTAAAACTAAAACCAAAAAGCTGTTTTTGTCTTCACCTTATAATATTTTTCAATGCCTTACATTTTTTTACTGATTACAGCTGCCAGTGCATCTTTGATCTTCTCAGTGAAATGCACCAGGATGAGAATTGCTGTCTGTTTTTTGTTGCAATTAAGTGGGTTCTCTGAGAGCCTGTAGCAACAAATACATGGGACAGTGTGCCCACGGAGCTTAAAATGCTTAGTATAAGTCAAATTTGTAAACTCTTCCTTCAGTCGTGGTCATTTGTCTTGGTGTCATGTTGATAACTATGGAGATCCTTGGAATTTGTGTTTCTTAGAAGTTGCCCGTATGTCACATGTTCAAAGGTGAAACTACATAATCTCTGGTGCTTCTTAGGGCAGTGTCCCTGTCCAAACGTTCAGTGTCACGTGTCGAATCTGGGTTTGACCACCAGTGACCTGGTTCTTCAGTGACGTCCTTCCCAGGTATTCACTACCAAGCTTCAGAAGTATACCAAGAGCAATACCTCTGCTTTTAGAGCGCTTTCTGAGCCTTACCCAGCTGAGGCAGCGCCCACAGTGTGAGAGATGATAAGCTTACTGGATGGAGGCTGCTGCTGTAATGAGGTTCTTGCTTATAAAATGAGATTTTCATGGAGACAGTATTTTGGGGAAGTAGGATTTGTCTTCAGTGTACACAACAGCTCTCCAGACCAATTCCCTTGTGTGAGAGCAGTTTCTTCTGTTGTCTTGTAAAAATCTACATCCCTGTAACAAAGCAGATTGTCACCTCACGTGTTTTTTTTAACTGCATCAAACTATTTGGGGAGCCGACAGTTGTGCTTTGCTCAGTCAGAGGGATGAGTTCCCACTTTATAATTGAATTGTGAAGGATCCTTCACAGCCTTTGCCTCTTAAGGTCACAGTGGTACTGAAACTAGGTTCAGTACCTAGTTCCCAGTTCAGTACTAGGTTCCCAGCAGCATGGTTGTTCTTTAGTTATGAATATTAAACCTTGAAGGATGTCTTTTTTTTTTTAATAGAAGTGTCTAAGGGAGGAAAGGTCATGCAAGTCTAGGGTCAAATAACATCTGCAAACACACATTATCTGCTCGAATCCATCAAAGAGAGCAATGAACAGGGCTGGTTGGCTTGGATTCACAGGAAGTGTTATTGACTGCACTCTTCTCTCAGATGCCTTATTTGCAGTGGGAAAAAGAGTTACAATATCAATAAGCGGCTTAAGTTGAAGTGAGTGCCTAGTGGAAAAATGTGACTTGTGTCTAAAGCAGAACATACATTCTGTTAACTGTTACTTAAAAAGAGAAGTTACTGGAATGCAACTGCTGAAGACAAAGAACGGTGCATAACCACAGAGTAATCTGAGCTTCAAAGTTCCTGTGACAAGACAATGGTTTCTGATCTTGCCAGAAAACATGACCTATCCATGGTACTACATCAGTTTGTTTTTTATAACAGTTCAATAGCAAACCCAACATAAAAAACCTCCAACACCCCAGAATGTTCCATATACTGAATACTTGTCTGTATTGAACAACCTGCCAAAAATTCTCTCTTTTGAAGTAGAAGAAAAACCTCAAAGTCTGAGACAGTTTTATTCTTGCTTCTTAGCAACATGGCCAGTTTATGGAAAAGACTCCTTCTGATGGTGTGAAAATGGACTCTGAGGTAGACGGCAAGCCCAATTACAAGAAGTTCTTTTATTGTAGTAGTAGGAAATTTTCCTCAGATCAGCAGAAGTATTTCAGTGTAAAAATACCCTATGTTCTAGCTTACAGAATCTGTTCTGGTCACCATATTTCTTTCTGTGCCTAAATGCGAAGTCTAATTTTACTTCACAGTTTTAATTAAGACTAAAGTCCATTATGAAATAGCCTGATAAGAATTAGCAGGTCCTTACATGACCTGAGCCTCAAATAAGAAACATCCTCAGCCTGTGTTTAATAAATAAATAAAGTAATACTGTCCATTTGCATTATACCAACTGCTGAAGTTGGAGGATTATCTTTCTAATTTCCTGTTGGGGATGAAATAAAGAGGAAAAAAAGCATATGGAAGCTCAAGAAGTTTTTTCAAAAAATAAATTCAAAGAAAACAGGTGGAGCTCTTTCTCACTGGACCCTGATTTCAGATAAAGATCACATAAAATAAACAATTAGAGCAAACGGAATACCAGAGTTAGGTGCAAGTTTAATTGAACTTTTACCTAAGGATTGTGCCTAACTTTTGCAAAATAAAATGCTGAGATGATTTAAGTAGTGTTAGAGGGCCAGGAAGGGAATTAATAACCTCATTAATTCTATTATGAAAATGGGGAAGACTGGACCGTGATACTTTTGGAAGAAATGAAAATGTGATTGCCTCCAGGCTTGCCTGCTGAGGCCTGGCATTACGTGGTTGAAGTCAGTATATGCTGTACACTAACTTGTAAACTTCAGAACAAACCTTTGTTCTTTCTGTCAGCAAGTTCTGTTGATGCAGTTTCAGTCTATTGTACAACTCAATGTAACTTGGAAAATGGCTGTATTAAGGTAGAAAACAGAATGTTTTCTCTCTTGGTACACAATGTAGCATTTAAGTGGGTTAGTCAATTACTTGGTTCACAGGAAAAAAGTTTAGCCTTTTATCATTGGTTTAAGAGGTAAAACTTTTTTTATGATGAATGCTTTTTAACAGCCCTGTTTTCTTTCTGGTTTAAGTAAAACTATTTAACAATGAGTTTTCATAAACAATTTTGTTATTCTTCAATGCAGTACATTCAGTTAGGAAAAAGGAGTCTGAGTTTGTTTCTAGTGAAATATCCTCACCCTGAGGCAGCAGGTTGTCATTTCTCTTTCCCTCAAGTTTTCATTTCTTCATAAATTAGTAAACACTGAAGACACCAGCTGTGCTTGCTCTGACCAGTCATCATGGAGCTTTGATCGGTACACATAACCCACATGCCAAGCTTTCATGTGGCCTTTTGGTTGTAAGGTTTGTTTTGACAGACAGTATCCCTGAAGCTTAGGTTCAGACAAATCAGAAAATGGTCCACACAGCAGAAATTAAAGAATAATAATTTCTTTGTGGATATGATGCCTTTGCCAGTATCTAAATACAACTAAGTGTATGAAGATCAGAATAAAACATTGTATACACTCATAAGAGAAAAGGTTGCAGGAGAAATGAATGGAAATCTGTCTTGCCATGCTAGTAACGTATTTTTAAGTGTTATTTTGTGACAGCACTACTTGAGTGTTTGAAAACTATTTGTTAAATAATGCGTCCAATTTCCTCCTTTGTTACAACACGTATTTCTCCATGACAGTGCTTTCTAAATGCATTTTTAATGTTCTAACATTTTTAATGTTCTAATGTTCTAAGACTATACCTATAAATACTTCTTCATCTTTGAATTTTTAGTTTCTTTCTGGGACAGCTGTGCTTTTGAGATATGATCCCTGTTATTTCCATACTAGACTGAACACTAATTTGTTGTGTTTGACACACATTATTCATCATGAGGTTTGGCATCAGTGCAAAAGCAGTGCAGTGCTAAGTGCACTGCAACTGCAGCAAAGCCATGAAATAGTGTTCCCAACAGCATCGTATTTCGGCATAAGGCTGAAGCCTGAGAAGATGCAATTGTGGTGTGAGATCTGCGATGCGGGAAAAACACAGGGTTCTCAGATCAGTTTCTTGAAGGGCACATAGATTCTTCCTTTAAAATCAATTAGGTTTGCATTTACAAGTCTGGCATTACTTCACTCTATGGAACTGTATTTTGTGAAACATGAATCAAGTTGTTGGGTTTTTTACACCCCCCCACCCCCCATGCAGAGTACTCGGTATCCCTGCTACATACGGAGTTTCAGGCCGCGGGCAGGTACATGGCTTAGTTTGGGGGTTTCTGTGGGGAGCAGCTTAGCAAGGGATGCCGCATCTATCCTAAAGGTGTAAAACCCACTCAACTGGGTCGGCCCCAGGCTCTGCCTAGCTCAGTGTCCTGCCTCTAGCGGCGGCCAAAGGGGATGCCGGGCGAGTCCACATGAACTGGCGCAGCCTGTGGTGGTGCTCTCACAGGACATCCAGCCCTCTGCGGATATTAAGCTTTTAAATGAAAGTCGGTTTTAAATTCTGTATGTAGTGGCTCTGCGGGACATTCCATAGATTTCCCGAAGCGCCCTCTGAAGGCCGGGAAGCGGCCACAGAATCCCGTGGCAACACGTTCCCTCGCCCGCGCTGTGTGCCGTGAGGAAGCGCTCCCCTGTTCGGAGAGGTCACTGCTCCTTCTTCCCGGTGCTGCGGGGCTCAGCTCTGGCTCCCGGGACACGAACCCGGCCACACACCCATCCCAGAAGCCAGGCTGCCCCGGCGCTGCCGCCGATGCGGGCGGACTGGCGGGGCGGCGCTGTGGGCGCTGCGGCGGCGCTCCGGGCGGCTCCCTCTGTGGTGCCACCGGCGTGGGCGGGGGAGCCGCTTCCCCTTCCGCTGCCCTTGTTGCCCGCGGGAGGTGACAGGACCAACAGCCGCGATGTGGCGGAACGTGCTGGTGAGGCCCGGGGACAGCAGCCCGCTGCGGCCGGGGTTGTGGGGGCTCCCTCGCCATGCCCGCCCGGGCGGCGGGACCCGGCCGTGGTGACCTCCACCCCGCCGGGCGCTGCGGAGGGACCTGCGGGGGTCGGGGGGAAGGTGTTGCCCTCCGGGTCGCGGCCCATTCGCTCCGTGTAGTCCTGAGCTTTAGGGTCTTGAGGGGACGATGTTGATTCAGGGGATCTCGGGTATACCTAGCCCGTCTCCAAGGAGATACATTTTATAGCGTGTTTATTTGGGATGGGCGGGGGGAGGAGGAGTGTTGTCCCGTTACTTGCAGCCACCATCACCTGGATGTTTGCCCTCCCCGTGCCCGCGTTTCTAGCGGTGATAATTTTGCGGGGATCGGTGAGTGTTGTCAGTGTTGGTTGAAGGAGACCGCTGGCACCTCGCTGCTTTTGCAAATGGCTGATTGAGGCATTAACCTTTCACATTTCAGTCTCCTACAGCAGCTCAGAGCTACAGCCGGCTCTTCGGCTTTGACACTTGACGTGTTAGCGAAGGCAGACTGCGCCAGCAGAAAAATTATACGTAGATCATTGCTTTTGGGCGCCTAACCTGTGTGATCAGACTGTCCTGATTTCAGCTCAGGACATGGCAGAGTGTTCTTAAGCTGTGTGTGTGGCAGGGTGGAGGTGTCTCCCCAGCTCTGTGAAGGTTATTACCTGTGCTGGGGGCTCACAGGTGAACTGCAGCCGTGACAGAACATCCTTGTCTTCTCAAAAATGTTTGATATGAATATTATCGTCCCTTTTGTTAGTCAGACACAGAACATGGTGCTTAAAACTTAGATCTAAGGGGCAGAGGCTGAGATTTCCCCAGAAGGATGCTAACTGCGAAGATTATGCTGCAGATCCATAAATCTGTTGTATCCTACTGAAAGTAATTTTCCTGAGTTTTTCCATTTTAGGTAATCAGTCAAGCAGTCTGTTGAAAGACTTACTGAATTCAAAACTAGTGGGTTTTGGTGAAGTTTTGTTTGTTTGTTTTTAAAAGGCTTTCCATTTTTTTTTCCCTGTCTCTTCCACTTATATCATGCTTTAAAAAAAATTACCTAGTGTGAACAGAGCTGAAAAATATCCCTGTTTTAAAAACACTGTTTATCTTTTATTTCAGGCTCTTCGCCAAATTTCCCAGAGAACCATAAGCACTGCTTCACGCAGGCAGATTGAAAATAGAGTTCCTGAGCATCAGAAACTTTTTCAGGTATTGAGCAAGTTGAACAATTTTAGTAGAGTAACAAGGTTATAGTAGATCATAATTGCATACATTTTATTTCTGAAGAACTGGTCAGACTCTTCTTTACACATGAAGAGAGCTCTTGAAATCAGTTGTATGATTATAGTGCTTGTAATCAGCAGTTATTTTCTACAGACACTAAGAGTATTTGTACATGTACACTTGACTTGCTGTCTCTTCAGGGCTTTTTTACTCTATGAAATGATTTATATCTGAGTTAGGCACTGTACAAAGATGAAGTATTCTGAAATGAGTTGACATGGGGGAATATGTCCTAAGAACAAATAGAGAAAAACAGCAAGTGAGAGGACAGAAATACAGTGAAAAGTTAAGCCTGAAATCTTGCAGCTATATCTGTAGTTCATAGATGAGGCCCATAATTCTTAATGAGGATGTAGTATTATTGTCTTGCTCAGTTATGAAAACCGTAAAGATCTTAAGTGATTGGATTCATTCCTAGAAAATTACTTAACCTTTAAAAACAACTTCTGAATTTCTCTGTTCCTGATTGATAAGGCCACCAAGTGAGAACTAGTGAAAGCAGGGAACATTTAAGAGCATACTCCCAACCGTGAGCCATAACCTGGAGGTGTAGTTTCCTACTGAGGATGGACTGGGCTTCAGCGATGTGAAAAGGACAAAGTATATTAGAGTCCCACTTTAATAGTTTTTGTATCTTCTTGCTTTCCTTTCCCCTGAAAGAGAAAGCCAGTCTTCTGAGACACTGCGTAAGGAGCAGAGTGTTGATTGTGGGCCAAAGGAGGAAGCAGGATGTTGGTGATGGGTGAGGTCAGAGGTCCTGTTTCTGCTGGTGGAAATCTCTAGGCATATCTCTTCCTCCTCCTGTTCCTTTCTTGTGGGACAGCAAGTTAAGCTGGGCTGCGTTGCAAGTCACTAGCACAGGAGCCTGGATTGAATTTTAGAACAGTGTGAACTTGTGACAAAGGTAAAGATCATGGGACTGGTGCCCGGGAGTTTTACTTAGGGTGGAGCAAAACAGTTTCCTGTGTGACACCAGGTGCAGGCTCCTCCCCTTTTTGCTCCCAATAGCAGAGATTAACTATGCTGGAGATGATTAGGAAGTTTCTAGGGATGGTAATCACATCCTGTGCACCTGAGGGGGCTGGTAACTGGTGTCAGAAGTGTTTAGGCATCTGCCAGTCACTGCTATAGAAATGAACCATGCACATCATTTACTATACTCCCCAAATGAGTGTTGTTCACCTGATACCAGAGTGAAAGCTTTAAAGACAAAGTGGGATCTAAATAAGGTCCATTGTCTTTTGGGGGTTGGAAGGATAATGTGGGGAAGCAATTCTTCTTCTGGGTAATTGTAGTTATATTGACACAATATTGCAAGAATTGTATTTAAATAGTTTATTTTTGTCACTTGTTTCCATTAGGAGGATAATGGCCTCCCAGTGCATCTTAAAGGTGGTGCAAAGGATGCTCTGTTGTATAGAACCACCATGGTTCTAACGACGTTTGGTAAGGCTAATACTACAGTCTTTATGCTTTGGTATAATTTCCAGTGTGCTAATATTAAAATACTTTCTCTTTGGTACAATCTCCAACATGACTGGTGTTTTCTCTGTAAATCAGTTACACAGTTCCTTTGGTTTGTTCTTTTAGAACACGCACAATGCATGTAGAGAAGGAAAAAAACCCACATTTAGACATACTGTATATATTTATTTGTGCTTTTTCCAAGTTTAGCTTTTCAGATGGCTTTTTCCCACACTAAGTACTGTGGGCTGAATACTCCTTCAGAATTCATGTATAATGTTAGAGAACTAATTAGAACTACTTAGAAAGCCTATTCTGAAAAGGAGAAAAACGTAATTATAGCATATATGTAAAAGATTTTTCTCACTAGCCTGACTCTTCTTAGGGCTGGGCGATACTCAGCATACTGAGTTTTCGTGTGGTGTGAAAACCAGTGGAATTATATCCAGGGTTCATAATACTGCATATATTTAACCTTTATGTTGCTTGTTACATAATTTTGTAATAGCCTCTAACCTAAATATGTTGATCTAATGGATTTTCAGTTCAGTTGCTTTAAGAATGAGTAACAATTACTTTATAATTGTCTGTGTAGGTTCCACAAACATGCCTCTCCCCACTTTTTTTTTTTATTTTGTTTCTTTATTTTTGTGCAGTCTGTGGAGAGGTATTTAGAATTTTTTTTCTCGAAAATATGAATCATCAAAAAAAGTAATTGAGACATGGCTATGGAAATGTGTTTTGCCTGAAGTGCAGCTGCTTGTTGTCAGTATTTCTTCTGGAACAAACTGCTAAGCTGACTTGAAAGGAATTCTGTTTGCCAATCTGAAAATATCTCTTCTGTCTCTTAATTCAGGAACAGTCTATACTATTTATCATCTGGTTGTCTCTTCAATGCCCAAGAAGCAGAAATGATTCCAGTTCAGGATGCCTCAGTGACTAACATCTCTTTGTCCAGTTCCACGTGACTATGGTGGCAGCTTATACTTATTATAAGCAGCTGGCTGAATGCTTGGAATCATAAATTAATTGTAACATGTTAACTGCAATCAATAAAGCAGTTTATACGTGGTGGTGTGGTGGTCTGGACTGTATCGTGTTCCTGGGTGTGAGCATCTTCAGTCATAGGCTTGCCAAGCTGGTGAAGAGAAACTAAAGGAGTATTACTAAGTTTGCCAGGGGAGGAGAACCTCAGTCCATCCCAATCTTCCTCTCAGTTGATGCCAGAGCCAGCCACAGATGCCCAGAGCCTGAAGTGGAATTGCAGGTCAGTAGAAGCATCCGAAGAGCATCATAAAGGACTCCCAGACACTGCAGCCAGTAAGTCAGATTCACCAGGGACACAACTGCAGTGCCTCTGTGAAACACACACAGTCTGGGGAATGAACAGGAGGAGCTGGAGATGTGCTCACACCTGCAGGGCTGTCATCTCAGTGGTAGCACTGAGAAATGGAGTGCTGGCTCCTGCAACTGGAGTGCTGGGATGGAAGGACAAAGGCTCTGTAGGAAGGATGGTCAGGGGAGACGAGGTGATATTGCCCTCTATGTCAGTGACCAGCTGGAGCACATGGATCTCTGCCTGGGGAGGGATGAGGAGCCAGCCAAGAGCTTATGGGTCAGGATTAAAGGGAGGGCAGGGGTGGGTAACAGCAGTGGAGGTCTGCTACAGGCCACATGACCAGGAAGACTGATTGGATGAGTCCCTCTATAGGCAGACAGGAGCAGCTTCACATTCACAAGCCCTGGTCCTCAGGGGAATTCAACCACCCTGATACCTGTTGGAGGGACAACACAGCAGGGCATAAGAAATTCAGAAGGTTCTTGGGAGACATTGATGGTAACTTCCTTCTCTAAGTGATAGAGGAGCCAATGGGGAGAGGTGCTATGCTGGACCTTGTTCTCACCAACAAGGAGGGGCTGATGGTGAATCTCGAAATAAGAGGAATCTGATTCCTGATCATCCAAAGGTGACAGTTTTTACTTTGCAGAGAGAATAACACTACCCTCTGCAGCTCCAGATGCATAGAAGTCATGTCAGTTGAACTGAGCACCTTCCTCTTCAAGATTTTTTTTTTAAAGTGGCTTTTCTCTGTTACAGCTGAAGGGAGCACCAACCATATGCCTTAAGGCAGGTTATGTGCCTTAGCAATAACGTTGTTGACTAGTGCTCACCTGCTCTATTTGCCAACAGAACTGAATGTCAGCTCTCTGCATATATAGAGACAGAACAAATGGCTGATAAAGGTAATGGTTTGATCATGATCCTTTCTGAAGTCCTTCTCATTCGCTGGCTGAGGTGGTTATCAGCTTGCTGTGATACTGACAATCACAAATGCAACCGAAGATCTGTCATTGTCTTGGGGGAGAAAAAATTGTGGTTTAGAGTTGGGAAGAGATAGCCAGCAATAACTACTAGTTGCTGACATGTATTTAGGAAAAACCTTATAACTAAAGTAGCTAGCCTTGCCAGTGAAAATTCCTGCTCCATGAAAAATGCTTCTAGGAAGCATCTTTAAGTTGGCAAGTATGGGAATCACTTGTAAGGTACCCCTTACAAGGTATCAGTGCTTCTTCCTAGATTGATGATTACAATTACCGAGGAAAATCATCATGGAAACCAGTTGTAGCTGTGCATCCTTAGTTAGGTTTTATGTTCCTAACAGAATTTGTGCCTTCGTAGCTTTCCTGTCAAATTGCTACTTGTGGATTATTATGCCTGAAGTTTGGCACTCTGAACTCTTGTAACAAACAGAGTTTCTAAAAAAAACCCCAAACAATTTCATCAAAATAATCCTTTTGTTTTTCTTCTCAAGGGAACAGTGGGATTTTCAAATATGAAAATGAGCTCAAAAATCTAGCTTCCCACTACAATGCTATTTTAAGCCTCTTGTGGGTTAGATTTGTTTAGAATTTTTTTTGCTATCCTGGAGAACCAGAGTATGCTTGTTAAACTTGAGGCAAAGTGGAAGAGAAGGGCCTGTGTACTCAGAACTCTGTAGTAGAACCAAAAATCTTAAAAGACAGGGTGAGTGGGGGAATACCCCTCAGTGGTAGCCTCTCTGCACAGGTGGCTTTGGCCAACTATGACTAAAAGAGTAAGAAATGTCTAGATGGATGTGTTAGAAGAAGGTTTAGGAAGTGGGGTACTGCTTATTTTGAGATGAACATAGATAAGGAAGGGAAACCTCACAGCACAATGAACTATACTTCACAGAATCTGAAGCAATCAGCCTGCTCTCTGATGCTGGTAAGGCTTCTGCTGCTACCATGTGCCTGGAGTTACTGTCAAGATGTGCACCAAGTGATGGGCATCTGGCAGGCAGCATAAGGAAAGATCAAAATATTTTAAAAGCTGCCATCCTTTCCCAACCACAGGAATTATGAAGAATATTGAAAGAAGGGCAATTGTTTAAATAGTCTAAATTAGAAAAATCCTGTGATGAGCTAGGCAGTAAGTATGTGTTTATGTGTGCAACTGAAGCAGAACGTGCAGCTGTTGCTGTTCTTGCACTGAACCATGTCTCAGAGTCCACTGTGTGGGGATCAGTGGCAGCCTGTGAGCTGGGCTGCAGGGAGCAGCCCTGGTGGGACAGCGTGGGGGGTAAACGCAAGCTGGGAAGAAGAGCTTCATACTACAAAGCAATTGCTATTTATAGACAGAGCCTTGAAATGTTACTTAAATGGATATCAAATGGCAAAAATTTGTTCTGGCAGAGTTGGGTCTGGTAACCCTGAAATGTGTCCCTGGAGTCTGCAGCTGGAGGCCGGCAGGGGAGCGGTTGGGGACCTGGTGGCACTGCCAGGGCTGCGCTGTGCAGCTGCCGAGCGCTCGCGGGGAGGCGTTCGCAGTCCGTGGGGCTGCCAGCACCTCAGGGTTTGTTCAGCTGCAGGAGCAGTAGGAGGAGGAAACCAAACAAGACCCACGGTCAGCTGCTCAGCACCATTTTATTGGACTGCATTACAAAGCTAACAGGGAAGTTCCCATCTACTGTGTATTCTATAGGTAGAATTATTTTGTTGCAGGCACGTCCACATCACTAGTTGCCAGAAGATGTAAACTGGCTGCCTATACTGCCTACACTGTCTCTAGGAAAAATGCAAAAAGAGAGCTATGTATTTTCTCTAGGCCTAAAATTATCTGAAGATCTACCTCCAATCTCCCTATGGGTATTCTATGAGTAGCAGAAAATAAAATAAGCAATGTGCATTACGCCTTGCTAATGGGGAAAAAAATTATAAATTTAAAAGAATAAATAATATGAAGTCATGGACTTCTAGCAGTTAACATGCTTAAACCCTGTACTTTTCAGATTCTACTATCAAAGTGCTTAATTATTGCCATCTTTAAATAATTTTCTGGAATTACGTGCTACACCTTACTGCAGTCCTACTTTTGATTTGTGTTTAGGCAATACATAGAGTCTAAAAATTTCATGTAAACTTTGCTATTTCAAGTTAATGTAAAATTTATTTTTCAATTACTGTTATTAGAAATGGGACCTATAATTCTTTAATATTTTGTTTTAAAGGATGGGAAAGCCTCCTGGAGCTGAGGATGTGGGAACACTGTCCTGGCTTCCACTGAGCTGAATTGTTCTGATTATCACCTCAAACACTTGGGGGACATTTTCCATTAGATAGGCAAGAGTACTTCATCCCTTCAACTTTCCTTGCCACCCTACTTTGCATTACTTAAGCTTTTAAACTTCTATGTTTTTAAGATTAACAAAGAAAGCTTAGGGAGGTTGGACTAGATGACCCACTATGGTCTGTTATAGTCTGACCCCTTCTGTGATTCTGTAGAAGCTTAGTAGTGTCCCAGCTTTGTTAGAATGAAAAAAAAATCATTCATGCTACTTTGAGAGAAGTGACTATTCAAATAATAATCAGACAGATGAAAGAGAAGAAAATTAAATCCTCAGTGCTGCAGTTCTAGGTTACACAATCCTTTCTGGGACTCCAGATGTACAGACCATGTTTTACTTTCTCCATTTGGAAGGTAGCTGAGAATATCAATTCTTAGGATGGTGCCCTGGGCTACATTTTCTTGGCTGTTGAATATATGTATAGATCCAATTAGCCTGACACACACAAAAATTTCCCCAGTAAAAGTCTTAGGACTAATAATACACAGTAACACGACATTGACTTTGTAAAAGACACTATGAAAAAGTTCAGAAACTCTCAGAAGTAAAAAGAAAACACTGAAGAGATCTCTTAAGTGTATGTTCTTATTTGTACCTTTTTTTTTTTTTATTATTTTTCCTGATCCCAGAGTACAATATCACTTTTCTAATGTTGCTTACCTTGGCTATCAGTGCTCTGAACTATGAGAAAGCATGATGAATTTTCTGGAGCATGTTTCATGTCCTTACTCTCCCATTCTGTTACATATTAGAACTGGAGGTTAACCTCATAGTTGGTAGGATGAATCAGACTTTCAGAGGCAAAATCAATCCGATCAACCTGACTTGACCCCAAAGAAGGTATTTAGGCAATGAGTAAGTAAGAACCAATGTATCTTTTCATGTGCATGCTTGTATGATTATGTTTTTAAAGAAGTTCCTTTTAACAATAACACCACCTTCTCTAATCTAACTTGCCTGAGCCTTTTCACTTATTTTTTCAGCAGTCAGTTAATTCTGCTGTAAAAATAATGGCTTGTCCAGAAACACAGTCTGAGGAGAATGTCTTGGCTGGACTGTACTTTTTCTGAATGTAAGTATTCAAGTCTTCAAACTCAGTGGGTAGTACATACAGTCTGTGATATATGTTTTGGTCTTGCCTCAATATTTTTCAAGAGTTGCTGTTATTATTCACAGGTTTTCTATTAGACTAACTGATCACAGCCTTCTCCAAAACACATCTAAAGCTAAAGCACTATTGTATTTATTTTCTCAAAAAGATATGTCCTCACAAAAGAGGTAATTGGCTGCGATTCCTGTTCGTAAATGTTGTGACAAACCAAATTAATTCTCAAGGGCTAGGGAGGTACTTAAGGAAAGTGGTTATTTCACTGAGTCCCCAGTCAGGCAGTCCTGGTTTTAGATCCTCGAAGAATACCAGTACCTG